AGGCCATGTAGTCCCCTCGTGTGGGTTTCCAGCCAATGGAAAGCTGGGAGAACATGGCCCCTGTGAGGGGGACAGGTGTTCAGAGGTGCAGGATGTGCTCTGGGCGCGCCCACCTGGTGAGGAGTCTGTGGGTTCTGTGAGGCGCTGATGCCGAAGCTGAGATCTGAACACTGGGGGGGGTGTCTACCTCAGGGTGCAGCTGGGAGGGGACACTTCAGGCCGAGTGGCGTGTGTAAAGGCCCTGCGTGTGGGAAGCACAAGGCACTAAGAGGAAGGGAAAGAAAACCCAATGGCCACACAGGGAAAGCCTGCCCTGCCCCTGCCCCTGCCCCTGCCCCTGCCCCTGCCCCTAGCATATCCTGCAAGAAGCGGTTTCTGCTCCTCCACTCCCGACCATCTCCCATCCCCAACTCTCCCCCCAGGGAAGCCCCGCCTGTCACTCACCAGCCCCCTGGACGGAAGACCTGGGGTGTCCCCTATGCTGGGAACATGGAGACGGGGGCGTGGTTGTGTGTTCGCCCAGGGGCTCCCAGATGTAGGTCTCCCAGGGTGGGCCCGCTGTAAGCCCTGTGAAAGGCAGGCCTGGTACCTGACCTACCAGAAGGGAAGATGGCCGCCCACGCCTACCTGACGTGTCATCAAAGCGTGGGGGCGGCCCTCTTGGGCCCTGGCCCCATCTGATGCTCAGAGAGAAGGCGCTTGGGTGTGACTTGCGGAAGGATCGCCAGTAGGGAGGCGGGATCGCTGTTGATGCTTCTTCCTGGCACAGGCGAGCCCTGATGGGTTCATCTCCAGAGGCCCGGGCTGGAGACGGACGCTGTGTCTCCCGACAACAGCTGGACTCCCCGCGCCATCTGCATCCCAGCGGGAGCTTTCTCTTTTTCTTCCTTTTTTTAAAAAAACACACACAACATATATATTTATGGATTTCAGAGAGGAAGGGAGAGGGAAAGAGAGATAGAAACATCAATGATGAGAGAGAATCATTGATTGGCTGCCTCCTGCACGCCCCACACTGGGGATCGAGCCTGCAACCCAGGCATGTGCCCTTGACCGGAATCGAACCCGGGACCCTTCTGTCTGCAGGCCTCCGCTCTCTCCACTGAGCCACACCAGCCAGGGCCAAGTGGGAGCTTTTTCAAGGGCAGTCGTCACCCCCAGGCATTTTGTGGATTTAAAAATCACAAACTGTTTGAGGGAAACTGTGGTTGAGCTCAGAAGCCCTCTCCTAGGGGCTCCCCGCAGGCTCTCGGCTCCGAGGTCGATTCGCGCTGCTTTGCTGGAAGGTGGGTGGGGACACGACGCCCAGCACCTGTGACAGGACTGGGCTCCCTCCCACACCCAGGCCCCCTCCCTCCTCTCTGGTGCCGACTGCGACCAGGGCGGAACGTGCTCAGATGAGGGGAACCCTTATCGGCTCTAAGTCATCATGACGCTCTCGTTCTGTTTGCACGACACTTGGTTTCTCGAGGTTTTCACGCCTCGGGCTGGTCGGGTGGCCCTGTCGGGCAGTGAGGTGCCTGGGGGTATGCGTTGGGGAGGCTTTGGCTGCTCTGACAACAGACGGGTGTGACTGGTGCCATCTCTGTCCTTGTGTCCTGCCTTAAGCATGGATGCGACGTCTAGAGTTATGGCGACCGTCCCAGAATGATGAGACGCCCAGCACGAGGGAACGTCAGCTCGCAAGAGGAGTGATCTAGAAAGGCCCCCCCCCCCCGCCCCCCCGCCAAAGGCACCCGAGCAGAAGGCCCAGCACCGCCCGCTGTCTCCCCCTAGACTTGTTCTACAAGAGAAATAAGCCCCTGCTATCAGGCCGCTACTGTCTGTAGCTGGAAACATTCCCAATGATTTCACCTTGTGTGTCTAAACCCCTAAGATCCTCTAAGGTCAGTTGCGTAGTTTTCACAGTCTCAGGGTGTTTAATCTGAGCAAGTACCATCTCATGTGGCAGAAAAAATGTCATACGTGTCATGTCAGGGAACCTTGTCTTCTTCTAGAATTTTTCTAAGACTTAGTGTACTACGAGTACATTCGTCACTATGCTTGGAAGAAGTTAACCTGTGAGGAGTTCAAAGCCGAGGACCATGTGAGTTGGGGAATGCACCAAGACGAGCTTTCGGCTCATTGTGCCAGAGCTCTGCAGAGGTGCACTCCCAGGGCTGACGTGGCCAGAGCTGCACTCCAGGGCTGACGTGGCCAGAGCTGCACTCCCAGGGCTGACGTGGCCAGAGCTTCCCACCCAGGGCTTGAGGTGGCCAGAGCTGCACTTCCAGGGCTTGATGGGGCCAGAGCTGGACTCCAGGGCTGACGTGGCCAGGAGCTGGACTTCCAGGGCTTGACGTGGCCAGAGCTTGCACACCAGGGCTGACGGTGGCCAGAGCTTGCACTCCCAGGGCTGAAGTGGCCAGAGCTGGACACCAGGGCTGAACGTGGCCAGAGCTGCACTCCAGGGCTGACGTGGCCAGAGCTGCACTCCAGGGCTGACGTGGCCAGAGCTGCACACCAGGGCTGACGTGGCCAGAGCTGCACACCAGGGCTGACGTGGCCAGAGCTGCACACCAGGGCTGACGTGGCCAGAGCTGCACACCAGGGCTTCCACCCTCCCCCGCTTCAGAGACTGCCGACAGCGCATGTGGGCACCGAGGTCGGGGGAGTTCCTCTCTGGAGGTTGTCGCCACATGCTAGCCCTTGTGCGGACGGAGAGCCTGGATGCTCATCGCCCGAAGGGCGTGGGGAACATCAGGCAGATGCTCAGAGTCAGGTGACCGTTCAGTGAAGCGCCTCTCGGAAGTCACATTCAGGCCTCGAAAAATTCCCACTAAGTCGTTTTTCGAGAACAGTAAGCAGCCCTCAGTAACACGTAGACGCACACGGGGACATAAGGTGACAGGAGCAAGAACAAACAATAAAAGATAGGCTGACCCCCGAACACTTAATATAATGGAATGATAGGAAGCAAATGAGAAAACCGCTTATTGGGTTAAAAGAAATAACGTGCAAGTTTTAAAAGAACTTCAGGCAACAGAGAGCTATAAACAAAAAACTGTCCTGGAAGATTTTTGAAGAGAATCAGATCAATCTGTTTTTTTCATGTAGACATGAAAGATGCAATGACTGAAACTTCAAATCCAATAGGTGGGTTTAAGAAGAGATTCGATGTAGACAAAGAGAGAATACATGAACCGGAAGATGGGTCAGAGGAAATGACCCAAATGACAACCCAGATTGACAAAAAGGATTAACATTATGAGAAAGGGGTTCAGGGACAAGGAGAGAGTGAGAATGGGGTTTACATTTAGGTGGAGTTCTGGAAGGACTGGGAAGAGAGAAAGGGGCAGGCGTATTATTTGAAGAGATAACGTCTGGGAAATGTTCGGCACGGATGAAAAATGCCAAGCCATAGATTACACAGCCCAACAAAGGCCAAGGATGGGAAATAAGAAGTGACCAGGTCGTTCAGACTCTGAGGGCCCATCGCGGCCTCTCTCGCCCGATGACGTGTCCCAGGGGCTCTTGGCCAGTCCTGGGACGTGGCGCTCCTGTCGGGGGGTGAGCAAGGCCGGTGCAAGGACAATCGCTGTCTCTGCAAAGCCCGTCTCTCTCTCCTGGCCTCGTCTGCCCAGGGCCACGGTCAGAAGGGCAGCTGAGGTATCCGTCCATTCGATCCGCCTCCTGCCTGTTATTTACAGCACAAGAGAGATGGAGGGGATGATGGCAACCCCTTCCTCCAAGGCTATATTCACTGATTATGCAGAAGCCTGGCACCACCCCATTGCTCCTCCCAGCCCACTCTCCCACTTAGTCCCATGTCTCCTTTGGTGGTGCCACGCCCCTGGGATCGGCTAGCAAACCGGCGGGGACTCTGCCTAGCAAAACGACCCCTGGAGAAGGGTCCAGTCTGGTACGTCCTTGGACTTCCAAAGCTCAGGTTTGATGTCGTCCAGCGTCTCCCTTTGGGATGGAGAAACCGAGGCCCGAGCAGGGCAGGCCCCCAGGAGGAGTCTGTTCCTCACAGCAAGGCCGGCCTGACACCCCGTCCAGGGCACAGCTCGCCCGTTGGCGGCCCCCTTCCCCAAGAACAAGGAGACAGCCGGTGTCACGCCCGGGGATTTCAACAGCTGTTTGTGATGGCGTGTGCCAGGGTGTGTGAGAAAGAAGACTCCTCAAAGCCTCCGGGGGTGACAGAGGAATCCAGAGACAGACAGCCCAGCAAAGCACAACAGCCTCCGTTACGTAACCGCGACAGCAAGCGGTGAATCAGCGCAGCCGGAAGCGCTCAGGTGGGTCGGGAGGAAAAGTGAAAGGATCGCCCTGGTGAGTCACGGGCCCACCCTGCCGTGGAGTCTCCCCGACGCTGCACCTCCCGGTTGATTCAGAGTCTGGGCTTTGTCTTCCACATCCATGTTTCGCTCTTTCACAACGGAGCTTCGCAGGGGATGTCGGTGTCTCCAGGAGGCCGGGCCAGAGCCTCACGCTCTTCCTCTGGGCTGGTCTGAGGGGTGCGCTCGCTCTGCACTCACACCCAAGGGAAACAATAGCTCCAAAGGCAATAATAGTAACACTATTGAGGGCCTACTGTGCTCCCAAAAGGCACCCGGACTCCTGAGATTCGTTTTGCTGACTAATCCTCACAACAACTCTGTGAGCGAGGCATGATCCCACTTTGCAGATGGCAGAACTGAGGCTCAGAGGGTGAAACACGTGCTCGTGGTTAGAAAGGACAGAGGCAGGGTTCATTCCAGGCAAGCCCATCCTAAGGCCACCTCTCCTACCAGGTTACGAAGGCCTCTTCCAGAGGAGCACAAACAAAACTCTACTTACAACGTGAGAAACATACCTTCCATCGATGCCTACGGTTAGTCCAAATAACACATCCTCTGGCTTCAGGAGGATTTGCATTTTGCCTTAAATATTCCAAAATCCATCCGTGTCAACTTTCAAATTTTAACCTTGTCTGATACGAGGAAAGAGGGTATAAACCTTGATGCGTGGCCCCATTCTTACCTTTTGCTGTTCAACCATTTTTCTTGATCCTCCTTTCTGATTCCACGTATTGCAGAATGTTCAATGGATTTGTAATCATCTTCTGAGATGAAGGGAAATTTCTTGCTCATTCTTTGCTTGAAATCTTGGCTTGTGTTCATCTTATTAAACAAAACATATGCCCCCCAAATGCCCACACATTCAGCTACTAAAGCTCCTGTAAAGAGCTCCGTTGCCAGTGGCTCCCAGGTGCGGGCCATCCTGAGTTGCTTACAAGCGGCTGTGCCTGCCCAAGGGTTGGCAGAGCCCCGGCCCTCCTGGCGTTGGCCCCACACCTTCCTCTAGCCTCCTTACCCGCTTCCAGACCTGAGAGAAAGGCAGAGCCCGGGCAGTGGACGCGGTGGGGAAGAGGAGAGAGCTGAGGGCCAGGGCCCTCCTGGTCCGGGCTCCCAGTGGCTGTGCAGTGGGTGTGTTTCTCGTTTCCATAGACCAGAGGAGCTGGGTGGGTGAGGAACACCAAGCACGGCTCTTGGAAGACCCCTTTGTTCAGGGAGAGAAGGCTTAACCGTCTCTGTTACTCCTTTGGTTGACCAAAGGAGGTTCTATATATATATATTTTAAATATATTTTTATTGATTTTAGAGAGGGAGAAGGAGAGGGAGAAAGAGAAAGAGAAGCATCGATGATAAAGAGAACCATTGATGGGCTGCCTCCTGCACGCCCCACACTGGGGATCGAGCCTGCAACCCGGGCATGTGCCCTGACCAGGAATCGAACCGTGACCTCCTGGTTCCTAGGTTGATGCTCAACCACTGAGCCACACCAGCCGGGCTGGTTGATCATGTTTTTATTTAACCATCCATGATCATGTGGAAAGTTCTGGAAGGTAACCTTTTGTTCAGTACTGATGTGGCGCACTCTGGGGGAGGCTCCCGGCCATCCGCGGTGCTGGCCTCTACCGCGTAGTGGAAACTCACCCAGAATAATATTTTTCAAAGTTGCTGCCTTAGTGGGCGGGGTGGGGAGACTCGCCTCTTCCTCAGGAAGTTCCAGGGGAGCCCCATGAAAATGCAGTTTTGATGGCCTGCAGAGTAATCACTGTCTCTACGCACTGGCTCTACTGTGTACCCACGCCCCCAGCCACAGGCATTTTTAAGATTTAAGTTAGTCTACGCCGTAGCTGGTTTGGCTCAGTGGATAGAGCGTCGGCCTGTGAACTAAAGGGTCCCGGGTTCGATTCCGGTCAAGGGCACTTGCCCAGGTTGCGGACTCCATCCCCAGTAGGGGGTGTGCAGGAGGCAGCCAGTCAGTGATTCTCATCATTGATATTTCTATCTCTCTCTCCCTTCTTCTCTGAAATCAATAAAAATATAAACATTGATGAATGAATGAATCAATCTACTGCGCATGCATCTGTGCAATTGCCTGTGAGGCTCAGGGACTCGGGGAAGGGCCCAGCCTCGGCCGCAGTGGTAGACGCAGCGCTGGCCCGGTTTCCCCCCACGGCGGCCCCGGCGTGGCCTTGAAGGACTGTTGTCCAGCAGCGCCTCACGCAGTCAGGGCTTCCCTGGGCCCCGTCGTGAGGAGGCCTCAGCTGGCCTGGTGGGGTGCTGGGGAGGAGGAGGGGGTCTCTGTGTCCCTGGGCTGTGGTCACCCAGCTCTCCCCACCCCGCCGCCACGGCCAGTGCCCTCCCTCCTGGTGGGTCTTGGCTCCCCTCGGAGCTCTGATGGAGTCCAACTTCCCCCGTCTCATCCGTGCACTTAGGGAAATCAGCGCCAGCAATGACAAAGCCTTCAGGGGGAAACGGGACAACAGCCTCCCGGGCGGGGGATGAGCAAAGATTTCTTCAACACAACACAGGAAGTGCGAACCATCAGGGCAAAAGGAACACGCTGTCCTTCGTTAAAATGAAGAACCACCATTCGTCACAGGGCGCCGTGAAGGAGCAGAGGCCATGAAGAACCACCATTCGTCACAGGGCGCCGTGAAGGAGCAGAGGCCACGCAGAGAAGTTACCTGTATTCAGAATATACAATATATATATATATATATATATATATGTTTTTATTGACTTTTGAGAGAGGGGAAGGGAGAGGGATAGAGAGAGAAACAGCATTGATCGGCTGCCTCCCGCACACTCCCTACTGTGGATGGAGCTGGACATGTGCCCTGACCGGGAATTGAACCGTGACCTCTTGGTTCCCGGGCAGCCACTCAACCACTGAGCCACACCGGCCAGGCCACATCTTTTCATTTCTCATATGTAGGTTCCCACAGGGGACTTCCTGGGTTGTACAGTAAAATTATGTTAAACATTTTAAGAAATCCACAAACTGGTTTTTCTCAGAGGTGGCTGTACCATTTTACAAGTTTTTAAAAATTATTGTCGTTCTAATCAGTGCGAAGTGGTATCTCACTGTGAAGTCGTTTTAATTTGCATTTCCCACCCCGTCCCTTTTTTAAAACCTCTACACCCATAAGAAATGCTGCCCCGTGGTTTTATTCTCTGTGGCGTCCTTGTCTGGCTTGGGCGCCAGGTAATTCTGGCCGCGTCGAAGGAGCTGGTAAGCGTTCCCTCCGCTTCCCTTTCCTGGAAGCGCCTGCGAAGGCGCGAGGCGGGTGTTGCTCTTCTCTCATGTTCGGTGGACTCTCCGGGAAGCCGCCTGGGCCTGCACTGCTCTTTGCAGGACGTTTTAAAATTACGAATTCAGTTTCTTTCCAAGTCTATCAAGATGATTCTTTCCTCTTGAGTCGGTTTTTGTCATTTGGTGTTTCTAGAATTTGTTCTTTTTCATTTGACCTTTCCAGCTTCGTCCTTCCGTTCGTTCATTTATGCAGCAAATAGGGCGCCTACTATGTGCCAGGCATTTCCGGAGCCATGGGCGCAGCAGTGGTGGAAACAGGCCCCGCCTCAGGAGGCTGCTGTGCCGCCAGCCCGAGCCTGCCTCCCTCCCGCACCTGCTGGGCCCGCGCAGCTCCCTCCTGTGCGGTTCTCCCCCTTACCGCCGGCTGGCCCACTGGACAGGACGAGGCTTTTAGAGCCGCCTCTTTAAGAGAAGTCCCCCGAACTCCGCGGGGCAGGCCATGTCCTCGGCTGGCCCTTGGTCACCAGTCAGGGTCATCGGATTTCAGAGTGTTCGGCGTGGCCAGCTCCCACGATGCCTGGGTCTCCTGACCCAGGGCTGCTTTGATCCGTCCCCTCCCCGTATCCCCTCCTTAGCATCTGAGGGTGCCCAGCACGAGGGGTGCAGTGGGAGGTCACAATGGGCCACCAGAGCGGGTGCTCCTCAGGGCCAGCTCCTTCCCCATCCCACAGCGACGGAGAATCGAGGGACCGACCTGAAATGGCCACACCTCAGGAAGCCACGCTGGCCAAGGAGGGAGGTCAGACGGGCCAGGCCGACCCGGACTCCGGCCACCCACGTCTGTCTGAGCTAGAGATTCACGCGAACCACAGATGAGGTCAGCGCGGGGTGAACCCGAGTGTCCCCGGGGCCAACGCTCCCATGTTACAGAGCAGCAAACGGAGGCCAATCGGCTGAGCGTGGGGCCCGGGTTTCGAGCCAGGGAACCCTTTCTGCTCAGCTGTCATCGAGGCCGAGGCATGGTGATCCCCCTCGGTCCCCGGGCCCCCAGGTGCCTTCCTCGGCTGGCGCCCCCCTGGTCGCGTTCCTCAAGGCGCGCTGGTGGGTCTGGGCTCTCTGAAGGTGCGGGGCTGGGGCCTCCGTCTCCCACCGCCTCAGCTCGGCCGGCGTGAACCGTGTCCGCGACCCGCTGAGCTGGGCTCCCGGAAGGAAAACCCTCACCCTGGGGCTGACTGTGGACTGAGGGCCTCTCGCTCCCAGGAATTTTTGTTTTTAATACGTTTTTATTGATTTCAGAGAGGAAGGGAGAGGGAGGGAGAGATAGAACCATCCATGGTGACAGAGAATCACTGGTCAGCTGCCTGAGATTCAGTGGAGAGAAGGCTTAAACGTCTCTGTTACTCCTTTGGTTGTATATATATATATATTTTAACATATTAAAAAAAATGCACACCTCCTACTGGAGATGGAGCCTGCCCTGACCGGGAATCGAACCCGGACCTCCTGGTTCATAGGTTGACGCTCATCACTGGGCCACGTCGACCGGGTGCGTCTCAGGAATGTTTATCTCCTGTTCACAAAGGGAAGGAGAGCCAAAGCCACGAGGACTTGCCTAAGGGACCAACAGTTTCAGGATCTCCAGCGTGCGGCCAAGACAGAAGCAGACCCAGGGCTCGGACTGCGGACTGTGGCCACCGTGTCCACCGCTTCTGAACCTGGTTTGTGTTGCTCAGCGACGACAGTCCTGGGAGGGGGCCATGACGCTTCCATTTGGCAGACGAGGAAACGGAGGGGAGCACCTATCCTGCCCGGGTCACCCCACCAGTAAGGACGGGGACAGATGGAGCCTGCTCCTGCCTCCCCTGACCCCCCCCCCCCCGCCTCCGTCCAGGTCCCTCTGGCGAGTGAGCAGGGGGCGGCGGTTGCACTTTACAGGCGGGGAAACTGAGGCCCAGAGGGAGGACTGACTTGCCCCAAGAGGGTCACACCACTGGCCAAAGGCTCCGCCCAGCCCGAGAGCCCCAGCCCAGCGGTTTTCCCAGACCCCCTGGCTGACACCCATGACGGAGGCCACCCCGGGGTCAACCGCTCGGCGTGGGAACCCGACCTCTGGGCGGGAGGGACCTTCCCAGGCGCTGGCACAGAACTCGGCCATTCGGTACTTTCGGCTTTTTGCAAATCCTGAAATATCGCCTTGTAATTGCTTAATTCTCCGCGTTCGTTCGTTTTACTTAGGCTAGCCCGGGGCTCTCCAGCCGGGCGTATTAGAGAACTTTCTGCTTTTTAATAATAATACTTCGCATTTACAAAGTGCGTTTCATGTTCAAAGTGCTCTGCAGGTTCACTAATTAATCAGAACGCCAACTGCCGCCCGGGCAGGTTTGACCAAGTCCTCGGGCTCCTAATTGTGAGGGTGTAATTCTTCCCGCTGCCCGACCCCCGGCTCCCTCCCGGGGCCCCCAGTTCTGTCCGCAGATGAGACTCTGGACCCTGGTCCTGGCTCGGCCCCTGGGTGCTGGGCCCTGCCCAGGGCTGGGGACACAGAGGTGCCACCTCCGGGATCCCGTGCAGGTGGCCCCGGTGCCGGGGTGGACACGTGGGGCCGAGGAGCAGGGACTGGGGCACAAGGACACGGGGACGGGGCTCCTGGAGGGGCTGTCAGGGGTGGAGAGGAGAGCCCCAGGCAGGAAGGGCACCCTGGGCAGAGGGAACAGCCTGTGCAAAGAGGTGGCGTGAGAAGCAGGAGCTCGGGGTTGAAAGCGGGAGGAGCAGATGCGCGGAAGCCGGGCCAGGCTGCAGCGGGGGCCCTCGG